TTTTCCTCCATGTGTTTTATAATTTTAGCTCTTAAATTTAGGTTTTTGATCTATTTTGAGTTAATTTTGTATATGGCATAAGGTAACGTTCCAATTTTATTCTTTCGCATATGGCTATCCAGCACCTTTTGTTGAAAAGACTGTTCTTTTCCTATTGAATGCTCTTGACACCTTTGTCAAAACTCAATTGACTATATTTGAGGTTTATTTCTGAGTTCTCAATTCTATTCCATTATTCTATATGTGTATCCATATACCAGTATTACACTGTTTTGATTACTGTAGCTTTGTAGTAAGTTTTAAAACTGGAAAGTGTTGGTCCTCCAACTTTGTTCTTTTTGAATACTGCTTTAGTTATTTGTAGCTTCTTGGATTCCCATATGAATTTTAAGATTATATTATCAATTTCTGCAAAGAAACCTAATGTGATTTTGATAGGTATTGCATTGAATATCAAGATCACAATGGGGAGTATTGTCATTTTAGCATTATTAAGTCTTGCAATTCATGAGCATGGATGTCTTTCCATTTATGTAGGTCTTCTCTAATTTCCTTCAGCAGTGTTTTGTAGTTTTCAGTACATAAGTCTTGTGTTTCCTCAGTTAAATTTTTTCCTAAGTATTTTATTCTTTTCGATGCTATTGTAAATGGAATTGTTGATTTCCTTTTTGGTTTGTTCGTTGTCAGTATATAGAAATACAACTGATCTTCGAGTGTTGATTTTGTATTTTGCAACTTTGCTGAATTTGTTTATTAGCTCTAACAGATTTTCTGTGGATACTTTAGGGTTTCTACATATAAGATCAAGTCATCTGAGAACAGAGGTAATTTTATTTCTTCCTTTCAAATCTGAATGCCTTTTTTTTCCCTTGCCTTATTGCTCTGGATAGAATTTCTACTGCTGTTAAATAGAAATGGTAAAAATAAACATCGTGTTATCTTCCCAATCTTAGAGAAAAGTCTTTCAATCTTTTATCATTGAGTATAATGTTTGCGGTGGGTTTTTCATATATGGCCTTTATCAAGATGAGATAATTTCTTCTATTTTTTGAGTGCTTTTATCATGTAAGAGTGATTAATTTTTTCAGGTGCTTTTCTGCATCAATTGAGAAGATCATGGTTTTTTCCCTTCATCTTATTAATGTGGTGTATTGATTGACTTTCATGTATTAAATCACCTTTGCACTCCTGAGATAAGTCTCATTTGGTTATGGTATATAATTCTTTTAATATGCTGCTTAATTCAGTTTGCTGGTTTGGTTTTGTTTTTTAGACTTTTGCCTCTTTATTCAAAAGGGATTTTTAACTATAGTTTTCTCTTCTTGTAATGTCTTGTTCTGGCTTCTGTATTAGGCTAATGCTCACTTCATATAATGTGTTAAGAAGTATTCCCTCCTGTTAAGTTTTTGGGAAGAGTTTGAGAAGAATTGGTGTTAATTCTTGTTAAAGTGTTTGATAGAATTCACTAGTGAAGACATCTGGTCCCAAGGTTTTCTTCGTTAGAGGTTTTTGATTACTAATTAAGTCTCCTTATGTCTATTAATATGTCTATTAAGATTTTCTGTTTCTTATTGAGTCAGTTTTGGTAGTTTTTGTATTTTTAGTAATTTGTCCTTTTATCTAGATTATCCACTTTGTTGGCCTACAGTTATTTGTGGTATTCTCTTACACTACTTTTTGTTTTTATAAAGTTAGCAATGATGTCCCCACCTCTTTCGTTTCTGATTTTAGTAATTTCAGTCTTCTCTCTCTTCTATTTTAGTCAGTTTATCTAAAGATTTGTCAATTTTGTTGATCTTTTCAAAGAACTAATTTTTGTTTCATTGATTCTCTCAATTTTTCAATTTTCTATTTTATTTAACTCTGCTTTAATCTTTATAATTTCCTTCCATCTGTTACATTTGGGCTTAGTTTGCTTTTGTTTTTCTACTTCCTTAAGATGTGAGTTAGATAGTTGACTTGAGATATTTCTTCTTTTTACATGTAGGCATTTACTGCTATAAATTTCCCTCTGTGCACTGTTTTCACTGAATCCCACAAGTTTTGATATACTGTGTGTTTGTGCATGTGTGTGTTTAATAGCTTTTATTTATTACAGCACCTTTTCGTTCACAGAAAAATTGAGTGGAAAGTACAGAGAGTTCTCATATATCCCCCAGCCTCACACATGCACAGCCTCCCCCACTATCAACATCCCACATCAGAGTGGTATAGTTGTTACAACTGATAAACCTACATTGACATATTATTATCATCTAAAGTCTACAGTTTAAATTAGGGTTCACTCTTGGCGTACATTTTTGGAGTTTTGACAAATGTATAAGGACATGTATCCACCATTATAATATCATACAGAATAGTTCCACTGGCCTGAAAAACCCTGTCCTGATTATTCATCCCTCCCTGACCACCACCCTGATCCTTTTACTGCTTCCATTTTTATTTTAATTTGTCTCAAGGTATTTTTCTAATTTCCCTTGTGATTTCTTCTTTGATCCACTGGTTATTTAAGAGTGCATTATTTAATTTTCATATATTTGTGAATTTTCCAGTCTTCCTTCTTCTATTTCTAGCTTCCTTCCATTGTGTCAGTGAAGATACTTTGCATGATTTCAGTCTTTTAAAACTTATTGAGACTTGTTTTGTGGCCTAAAATATGGTCTATCCTAGAAAATGTTCCGTGAATACTAGAGAAGAATGTATATTCTACTGCAGTTATGTGGAATGTTCGATTATTGGGTGAGTCTGTTAGGCCTAATAGATTTATAGTAGTTTAAGTTCTTGATTTCCTTATCAATCTTTTATCTAGATGTTTTATCTATATTGAAAGTGGGTATTGAAGTCTCAACTGTTATTATGGAGTTGTCTATTTTTCCCTTCAATCTGTCATTGTATGCTTTATACATTTGAGGTCTCTTTTGTTTGATACATATAGCTGGTTTATAATTGGTTGCATACTTGGTTTATAATTGTTGATTCTTCTTGATTAATTGACTCTTTTATTAATGTATAATGTTTTTCTTTATTATAACAGCTTTGACTTAGTCTGTTTCATCTGAAATTGGTAGAGCCACCAGCTCTCTTTTGGGTTACTATTTTTTTTTAAGTATAATTTCCATTTTATTTTTTCCCAGAGAATATTATTTTCAGCCCTTAAGGATTTAGTTCCTTAGGTGGAGGTCGTGGGGCAGCATGCACAAGTCTAAATTGGTGTGGGGTGTTAGGTGCTTCCGGGCTTCAGGAGAGTGATTCCTGACTACTTTGCTGTGCATGGCACAACTCTCACAGTAATATAGTTTCATACACAGCTTGGGAAGCACATAGGTGTCGAAGACACTTGCTTCAGAAATATCCTTGATGGCTGTGGCCTCTACTATGTTTCAAATGATGAAATTCTTAATGGCCTTGCCTTGTCCTTGGACACACATCGGGTGCAGGCGGTACAGTCAATAGGCTTGCACATGGTCATGGCCCTTTTTGGCATGACAATTGTTCCTTCTTTTCTTGGTCATTTTGGAAGCGAGGACCCAAGAGAGCTCTTTTGGCTATTATTTACATGGGATATCATTTTCCATATTTTCACTTTCAATCTATTTTTGTCTTTTATCTGAATTGAGTCTCTTACAGGCAGCATATCCTTATTAAGAGCCATACTTGTTTATTTTTTCTCTATCAATTCCTTAAGCTTTTCAAAATTGATATCACCCCCTTAACAAAATAAATTCCTTAGTCTTAATTCCTCTACTTGTCATCCTCATATTCTATCATCTATAATTTTGTTTCAGGATTCTTAAGCTGGTTAATAATAGTAAACATTTAGATAGTGTTAATTATGCTCCTGGCATTGTCCTAAGAGTTTTTCTATATCATTTCAGTTAATTCTTACAACAACTCTGTCAGGTAGGTACAATTTTTATGAGAAAATTGAGGCACAGAGGTTAAGGAACTTGCCCAAGTTATAGGGCTAACAAGCGGCAGTCAGGGTTTAAGTCCAGGTAGTCTTGCTACCTCTCAGATAAGCCAATTCTAGAGTCATCAGGTAAAAATAATCAAGAACACCTAAGAAAATTTCTTAAAGATAATAAAGCTATTAAAAGTTATAAAACTACACAGAGGATTTTTAGGGAAGTGAAAGTACTCTTATGACGTCTAATGATGAATACATCACTAAACATTTGTCCAAATTCAAAGAATGTACAATATCTAGAGTGAACCCCAATGTAAACTATGGACTTCAGGTAATAATGACATATAGGTTCATCAATTTTAAATGTCCCACTCTCAGTGGATGCTGATAGTGGGAGGCTGTGGGTATGGAATCAGAGGGCATATTCTCTGTACTGTCTGCTCAATTTTGCTGCGAACCTAAAACTGCTCTAAGTGTTACAAAAAAAAAAAAGAAAAAAAAAAAAGCTTTCAGGTTCAAAACTTGTCTGACCTGTTCAACCTTTATAGAAAAATATGACCTTAATAATAATCATTACTCAACTGCTTAGACACATAAATGACTAGTGATCTTCCTTTGATAAAATATGGCTCCATCACTACTGATGGAAAATCCAAATTAATTGTGCTATGAATGGTGACTCTCTGGCAACATATTCTCTGTCAGAGTAGTAGCAGCAAGAGCTAATGAGTCAGAATTAAAGTCAAACCTAGCTGAGACACTTAATATCTAATTCCTTGGACAAATTACTGAACCTTTATGGGCTATTGATTTCTTATTTGTAAAATGGGGTTGTTACTTTAAAAATGGAAGTTACCTAAAAATAACATAGGGGTCCAAATAATGTTGGGAGAAAAATAAAACCGCAATTTTGTTTTCATGAAAAAAATGTCCATATATGATTCTCAACTAAGTCAAGAATGTTAATAATGTATTGGTGATAATACTATAGGTAATTTTAATTTATTATTCAAACTTCTATTTTCCAAACTTTCTACAATAAACATCCATTATTTATATTCAGAAAATAAAGTTTTTAAAGCCACATCACAGAAACTGTAGAAAATAATATTTTATTGAAAGTTTTTCAGTTAACCATGGAACAAAGTACAATTTGACTCAAATTTGTCCAACCAGCCTCAACTGCTAATGAAAGAAATTCTAATACATACAGGACAGGGTGGGTCCCTTAGGTCTCATTTCTGCCAATATGGCAAAAAAAAAAAAAAAAAAAAAAAAGGTGGGGAAAGGGAATAAAAGATGGACATAACCAGGTTCCTCCTTGCCCTGCCCTGGCTCCTGCTACAGACACGTACTGGAGGACACTCCCCAACATCAGCATAGTGGGTAAAAGGGCCCCATCTTAGCAGAGCAATGCATAGAAAGCCAGCCTCTTCCTTTACCCACAAGGCCTCAGAGAGCTAGGTGGCGTTTTTTACATTCATACCATGTTCTTTCCTTCCCCCAGGGTCTTAGGCTAGGGGCTCACAGTAGAAAGCACATTTTGGTCAGCCTAAGGGGCCAGGGGGTGAGGGAAAGGCTATGTCTGGGAAGGCAGAACAGCAGGAGAGAAAGTGGGGTAGACAGCTGAAGGGACATGGAATATCAGGCTACTGGGAAGATGCAGATTTTGAGAAGGCTTACAGGATGCTGGCATCCCATGCCAGCCACTCCACATGGAATTCCTGGGCCGAAGAGTCCACAAGTGAGAGCTACAGGGTTTTCACATGGCTTACTCCCTGGAAAGGTGGCTGGATTCCCTTGTTCACTTTCTCCCTGTCTACTCCAGCCACTACGGGTTGTACATGTGGGTGGGAATCCACCCATATTTACTTCAGCCAGTCTAGATGGAAGGGCTCTGGGCAAGAGGCTGCCTTCTTGCAATAAGAAATCAAGGAAACCCATAGGAAGAGGAGTCAATGGGGAGAGAGAGCTTTTTAGGAAAAGAGAAGAACTTAGAGGAGAAAAGAACATGGATAGGCACTCAGAAACCAAACCTGGTAACCAAGGCTCTGTAGACACTGGCTCCATGTGACACTAATTTTGTGGTAGAAGAGAAAAGAAAGGAAGATGACCAGAAAAGACTGGAGACTCTAATAACCCAGGACATCCTTTCCACTATCAGGTCTGCCAACCACTGACAGCTATTCTCTCACCTACCCACAGGCAAAGAATTAAGACATAATAGTGATTTTTCCCAAATTAGGGCCTGGATAGGTAGGGAACCAGAGGGGGGATTGAAGAATAGAACAATTTCAGTTTTAACCACAGAACTACTCTGGAAGGAACTGGTGAGCTGTCCCTTCCTTCCCCTTCTCCACACCTTCAATCACAGGTGAGAGAAAAGGAACTTAAACCTCTGAGGGCTGGACCAACCCCTCCCCCAACCCTCAATGTTTAATAAATAGAGGTGGTAGAGAAGGGGATGGGGATGAATGGGAAGCTGGAAGGCGGGGGTTATAGTTCATCATTCTTCAAAGTTCGCTTCTGTTCTGTTGGCTGTTCCTTCTGTTCAGATTCTGTTAGGAGTTGGGGAAACAAAGGAATGACAACATGAAGTGAAATGGAGATAACTAGCTCCAGTTCTGTGCAGATATTTCCCCCAGACCCTGCCAGGCTTCCCGGCATACCCCCGGCTCCACCCTCACCTGCTCCAGGACCTTCTAACTCCAGAGGTTCAGTGTCTGCTGGTTCAGATCCTGCTTTGGGGAAGGAATAGTTTAGTGTCTGTAGAAGGGAGGAATGGGCTAATGGAGGGGTGGGCAAATTTCTTCTGTAAAGAGCTAGATAGTAAATATTTTAGGATTTGAGGGCCACACTCAGTCTCTTTGCATTTTTTTTTTTTTTAATATCCTTAAAAAAGATCATTCATAGCTCATGGGCTGTCCAGAAAACAGGCTATGCCTGCCAGTTTGCCAACCACTAGGCTAAGCGATATCCATGTTCCCAGTTTCCCCAACTCACGAGTCTCTTTCTCAGGTTCTGAAGTGGGCTTTGCATCTTCAGTATGGCCTGGAAGAAAATCAGGAATAAAATGTAATCCCAGGAGGGAAATGAAACCTTTTTCTTGCCTAGTAGCACCTGGTGCCTGGCACCTTGCCCTTACCTGGTGGACGGATGACCTTCTCTCCCTGCTCACTGGCATTGAGTGGAGGTTCTGCCCGGGTCCCATTCTTGTCCTTGGGCCGGGGCCGCGGCTTAGTAAACTTGGCCTTATTGAGCAGATACTGCACCTCACGGTCCAAGGCCATCATCTTGGCCTCGATGTCTTTTGAGAGTAACACAGGTTTCTCTGTGGCAGAAAGCTTGGCCTGCTCGGCCATTGTTGCATTCTTCCAGGCCTGTGGGTGAGGCCAGCACAGGCTCAGTTAACCATGGAAATAGCAGACATCTCTGTCCCACATAAAATACACCCCAACCAGCCTCAGAGTCTTCCCTTGGACCTCGGATCACTCTGCCACCTCTGTCCGTCAGCCTCACAGGGGTACACAGTGCCCAGAATGGCAATCAAGGCTTTCCACAAGGGAGTCTCTAACTATACATTTCTGGCTTACATCTTATTACTTTGGACTAACTACAGTTAAACTTCCTGGTTATTCCCTTCTTGTCTCTCTACTTCTGAGCTCTGGTTCAAAAAAAGTCCCCACACAACCAAAAGTTTCTATTTCACATGACAAACCATTCTCAACTATCTAAACCCTGGCCTACTTTCTGAGTCCAGCTCAAGTCCCAGCTCCTCAAAGCAGCTTTCTCTAACCTCACAGGGAATGGTTCTGTTGTTCCTCCAGTCTGATCACTAATGGCTCTGACCCTTAATTGGGACTAAATGAGGCCTCAAATGCAAACATCTTTTGCCACTCAAGTTAGCTGCTAAGCTAGGAGGCAGAAGCTGCTGAGTACCTACTTCTCTGCATCTCCCGTGCTGCTTAAGATGGCACACTTTGCCAGGTAAGTATCTAGTTAAGTATTTACACAGGGATTACCCAGGTCTCATTGATGACTTTCTCTAACGTTGTCATCTCCACCTCAGTGAAGATCTGGTCCATCTCTGGGATAAGCCGGGCCCCCCTGGAAGCCAGAGGGGAGACAATTAGCCCAGGAGTAAGTAATGTGTGGATGTCGGGAATGGGAAGATAATGGGAATGAGGGTCAGTGGGCTTGGCAGGACTGAATAAGGAAGAAAGGGCAAAGGATCTGCTCACTTGAGAAACATGCTGGAATGGTTGAGGAGATTGTCGAGGGCAGACAGCCGTTCAGGCCACTTTTTACGTTCTTCCACCCGAAAAAACAACCCTTGGCACAGCTTCCTCAGCTCGGCCAGCTTCTCCTTCAACATCTGATGGATGTGCGATAGGAGTGGGTAGAGGGGTTGAAAGAACAGTATAGCCCTGGAGGTAGCCCTGCAACCTTCTTTATGGTCTTATACCCCAATTTTCTCACTTTCTTTGACCCTGGAAGGAGAGAGTTCCCATCCCATCTGTCATATCCCAAGAGGCCCCTCACCACTGTGGTAGCCCCAAAGCCCTCATCCTCCAGCCAGGTGGAAGCAGTGCTGAGTCTCCCAGAGATCTCTTCACGCTGTTCCTCAGTGGATACTTCCTGGTATTCAGGCTGGTACAGCTTGTCCTAGGGAGGTGCACATAAGCGCAGGCATGCAGCGAGCTCCTAAGGGCAAGGCTCGCAGAGCCAGGGCCTCCACAGACATAGGTCCCAGGACAAGTGTGCCTCCCAGCCTACCAACCTGGGTCTCAAAGATGAAAGCTTCCAAGCTGTTGGCAGCTTTCTCCCGTTCCTGTTTCTCTAGGTCTCGGACTGTCAAGTCCTGAAGTCTGTGGGACAAAAGGGAAAACAGGCATGAGAAAGACAGCATGTTGAACTTGAGCCCTGATCAGACAACCGGCCCTCCCAGAGGCACCATTGCACACCCTGACCACCATACACGTACACACGTTCTGTCTCTGTCTCTCTCAGTCTTTACTCACTTCTGTGCTGATTGGGCCAGTTCATCCTCAGACAAGTCAGGCAGGTCGAGAACAACCAGTTCTACCCCGACCTCCTCTATCATTCTCTGCTTCCGGGCAGGCTTCTGTTTCTTTTCTTCCTCCGGGGCTGGAGGGACACCCTCAGACCCTGCCTCCCCCTTCTCATTTGGTTTCTATGGGGGAAAGAGATGAAGATGTCAGGAAAAGCTTAGGCCCTTCTATTCTCCACAGGCAGGGCTTGAGAAATAAGGCAGGCATCTGTTCCCTTAGTCTCTGTGTCCAGCGTGGCCTTACACTGCCTGCAGCTTACCTGGGCCTCAGACTTTCCTCCATTTTCTTTGTCTGTGGCTTTTTCTCCATCAGGGGCTGCATCCCCCTTAGGCTCAGGGGGTGAGGGCTGAGAGGTGTCCTCCACTGGGGCCTCAGTTTCCTCCTTGAGCTCCACTTGCTCTCCAGGCTCATCCTTGCTCCCCTCAGCAGGGTTTTCCTCTTCCTCCTGAGACACAATCACAGACACACCACAGAGGACAGTCGAGATCCATGAAGCAGGACCAGCTCAGCAATACCAGGTCCCCCCGCTCTACTTTGAAAGAGCTCACAGCTTGGGGATAGACAGAGGACAACTTCATGGAAATGGGCAGTGGGCTGTTTGGACTGCAGCAGTCTAGACAAAGAAGGACCTGGAGATGAGGGGAATGGCCTTGGATTTCAAGCACAGCTCAGAGTGCAGAGAAGGGTATGGTTACTCAGCATAGGCTAAGAGGAAGGAGAGAGCTATTAAATCCTAGGCAGCTGAAATGCCCACCCCAACTCCCTGCCCCCACACACCATCTTTCATGCTCTCCTGGCTCCATCCTAGCCTTACCTGGATTGTATCGGTACCATTCTCTTTGGTGTCTGGTGTGGTGCCACCTCCAAACAAGCTGGAGATGGTGTTGCCAAGTTCTAGAGGGAAGAAAGCCCAGACTCAAAGGGAACCACAACAGTGACTCTACCTCTTAACCCAAGGGCAAGGCCTGCCCACCTCCCCGAAACACAAGTATATTCTCTCTCATATTCTGTGTCTGTGTCTGTGTCTGTGTCTGTGTCTGTCTCGGTCTCTGTCTCATGTGCACACGCGCCTCTTACTGGTCAGAGTCGATTCTTCTTCTGGGCTGTCCTCCACCAGAGTCTCAAACACAGACTCCACCTGAAAATAGGAATTCAAGATAAAAAAATGCACACATGAACCCACCATGTCTCCGCAAAGCTCCTGCCATGGTGGGGGTCTGCTTATGCACATCCATACAACTCCCAGCTGTGTTGGTCTATTCTCTCACCTGTGTTCTTCTAAAGCTCTTGGATCAAGTCACCCTCCCCACTCTGATTATGAGCTGTCGAAGACAGGATTACAGATCCTTTTTGGCCCCAGAGCCTTGTATTTCTCCACTCAACAGAATGAATCATTATTTCTCACAGTATGTTTGCCCTCAGATATTAACCCTCAAAATCATTCTTTGAAAATGAACAAAATTTCAGAATTGTAGATTCTAAAATTTATAATGCCCATGAGTATTTACACACTACATGAAGGCCCACATCAGATCACTAGTTAGCTTCATTTCAAGTCAACATTTACCCAATCTCAAAATCCTTTTTGTTTCTCATGCTCTAAAAGGCTGGTGGGGCTGGGCCCTGACCCTGTACACAGGGTCTCCCTCTGAGCTCACCCTGTCTAGGCTGAGCACACCACTCTCATCCAGGTTGAAGTGAGCCTTGATGCCCTTGGACTCGTAGTCGGGATACTTCTTGAAGCTCTCACCCACACCTTTTAGCTTTACCATGGTCAGATTCTGGGAGCCAAATACCCTGGTTGGGAGGAGAGAGCAATTTAGCAGAACCCACCTGATCTGCCTCCAGCCCTAGATTACACAGCCTCCTGGAACAAAATGCTGAGGCCCTCCCCAAGGACATACTTAGGAGGAAGGCAGCACTCTCCAGAGGAGACACTTGACCTAACCCCAATACCACAATCTGCTTCCCATGGGTTAGCCCTTTAGACTCCAAGTCCTCCCTCCCTGGAGCTCCCATCCTACCCCACCCTACCCCCTCACCGAAGATCCTTGGGCCCCAGGAAGCCCAGGTCACCATAGTTGACGTGGAAGTTGAAATCATGGCTATAGCGGTTAAAAGTGATGACTTTGCGTTGAGGGTAGGGCCCCATCCGGGAGAAGAGAACACGCTTATTGTGCTTCAGGCTGTGAACCCCAGGTTCCTCCTCCACCTCCCTTGTGAACTCCACCTACACAGCAGGCAGAGGAGGCACACTGGGGAACCAGAGCAGGTTCTGGGGTAAGGGTGGGTGGCAGGAAGACAGAGGGACAAGCTAGAACAGATAAAAGAAGAGATCATATTTGAAGAGGTAAAGAGAGCTTGTCACTTGATCACACAGGCTAACTCACCAGGATGGGATAGATGACCGCATCTCGAACTACAAATGGCTTCACCTTGAAGGCTTTGCTGAGCGCAGCTGCCTGGTACACAGCCCCCATAGCAGCTGCTTCATCTGCATTGATGTTCTTCCCCAGCTCCTCCCTGTCAAAGTCCCAAGCTTCAGCACTATCTATTCTGCAGCTCCCAGCCTGGCCTCCCTCCCCTCAGCCCTCCAGCTGCTCAGTTCTGGAGTCTTAACCCCCAAACTCACTTGCCCACAGCCTTCAGCAGAGCCTCCTGAACTTTGGGGACCCGAGTGGCACCCCCCACCAGGATCACCTGCTCAATCTCATCCTGCAGAGAGAGAAAGAATATGAGATTATGACAGCACGTTGTTGACCCTCCTCCTCAGCATCGACTCCTACCTTAACGTTCCTGCTCCCGTCTCCCCGCATCTAATCACTTTCTATCTCACTTGTCTCCTAGCCCAGGCCCACCTCTGACTACCTCCTCACCAAGTTCATTTCAGCACTCTGGAGGGCCTGCTGCACAGGCCTAGGCACCCGCTCAAATAAGTCAGCACACAACTCTTCGAACTCCACTCGAGTCACTTTTGCCTTGAAGTCCACGTCATCCATGAGGCCCTCGATCTGGGGGAGGATAAGGAGTGTCAGAGGTCTCACCCAGGTCTTACTTTCTGAGTGGACATGCCAGAAACAATGGGAACAGGACTTTGGAATGATGGCAGAAGGCATGAGAAGAACAGATGGGCCACACCAGGCACAAGCAGCCTAGCTCAGGATAGTGGGGTCCTCTACCCTCTGGGTGAGGAATACTGCCCTCAACCAGCCACATGTGGACACCTGTGCCATGTGGTCAGCATTGGCACTCAGGACAGTTTTGAGTCGATTGGCCTCACGTAGCAGCTTGGCCATGGCGCGGGGGTTCTCTCGCACGTCCTTCACTCTCTGACCCTTGCGCTGCTCGTTGAAAAGCCCAGCCAGGTGCTCACGCAGCCGAAGCTCCATTTCCAGGCCCCCAAGGGTACGGTCAAACCTGTTCAAGAAAAAGAACAGAGAAAAGTGTGAATAACATGTGGGGTCCCTTCATCTACATAGGAACCTGACTCTCATCCCACATGGTGACACCCCATAGTGACAATTCATTCATTCATTCAACCACAGCATCAACTATGTATTTGTCTTTGGGAGTGCAATTATGAGAAGAAGTAAAAAGACAGGGTTCCCACTGTCAAGAAATTTACAAACTAGCAATCAAATAAGCATATAAATGTGAAATTTATATGACACATACCATGTGTTATAAAGGAAAGGCAAATAATGCTATTAGAACACATACATGAGAAATCTCAGCTATTTAGAAGTGTCAAAGAAAGTTTTGTGAAGACGCTTGAGCCAAAACCTAAAGGATGAGTTGGGGTTAACTACATGAAAATGAGAGAAAATAATATTTTAGATAGAAGGAACAATATGCATAAACACCCTGAGGTGAGAGAGGGTATGATAAATTCCAAAAGAGGGAAAGTATGGCTGAAGCTCAAAGAGCAAGAGGCTCAGGGTTAGAGACAGGCATAGCCTTACAGGACAAGGTAATAGTTCAGAGGTCCTGAAGAGTTTTTAAAGAAACAGGTTATAATCACGTTGGCATTTTGAAAACAACCCTCCAGTTGCAACTTAGAGAGAAAGAACTGGAAGGAACCCACACTGAGAGCAGGAGATGTCTGGAATTCTGCAGGTAAGAAGCGATGGTAGCATGAATTATGGTGGCAGTGATAGAGATGGATGGAAAAGGGTAGGTTCAAAAAATAAGACAATGTCAGTGATAAATTATTTAAGTAAACTGGAAACGATGAGAGCAAAAAAGAGACTGAATCTGAGATCCTACATATGGCCTATAGCATCATATATTTTCTTAGAAGTAGTTCAGTAAGTTCCCTGCCTTTCAATCTTCCCAAACCATCCTCCCCTTCTACATCTTTCCCTTGCTCTTTGGGAGAGGTATCTCAGGATGACTGACACTTTAAGCAGTAGAACATTCCTGCAGGGAGCAGGAGTGAGGCAGCTGCCCCTCCAAGAAGATACTCCCAACCTGAGGGTCTTTCAGCAAGCAGCCCGTCTCCTAGCACCCACTTACCCCACTCCCCGGATTTGCAGCTGTGGCTGCATCCCCGCTTCCTTAGTCTTCACTGTCTGGTAGGTCACGATGGTGCACACAGTGCTGCCTGAGCCCATGTCATAGAACATGATATTCTGTAGAGACATCAAGGCAACTGTTATAGAAACCTTATCCAAGTCCAAGGTCCCTGCCTGCTTCCAAGTTGTTGCATCAACTCTCAATTGAAAGCCCAACAGTTCTAGCGGAGGCCGAGAGGAGACTGTCTCTGCCAACAAGATAGATGCAAAACAAGCCAAGTGGCCTCCATCCTCAGAACAAGCCACCCTGCAAGTCTGGTCAGAAGTTCCTCCTTGGCTCACCTGAGCAGTGGTGTTGATATCTTTCCGGCGGAAGACACCATAGCTGAGGGCAGTGGCAGTGTTGTCATTGATGAGCTGCAGCACTTTGAGGCCAGCCATGCGAGCAGCTTGCAGCACAGCTCTGCGCTCAGCCTGATTGAAGAAGGCTGGCACAGTGATCACCGCATCCTTGATGGGCTGTTCTACAGAGAATAACAGAACAGAGTTAGATGAGGGTTTCCCAGTCTTGGCACTACTGACATTTTGGGTCAGATAATTCTTTGTTGTGGGGGCCGTCTTGTGCATTGTAGGATATTTGACAGCATATATGGCCTCTACTCACTAAGTGCCAGTAGCAGCTCCTCACTTGTGACAACCAAAAATGTCTTCAGACACTGCCAAACATTTCTTGGGGGGCAAAGCTGCCCCCATTTGAGACCCTAGGGAACCTGGCCACCACTGGCCCCACTCTGGTCACTCACCTGCAAAATCTTCAGCCAGGGAACGGGAGTAATTGAGAACCATACCCAGTACTTCTTCAGGTGAGAACTGCAGCTGCCTAGAGGGACAGGGGAGTAGTTAGATGCAAGGAAAGCCAGGCATTAAGGCAAGGCCACTTCTCTGGTAGAGCACTCACGGGCTAATTTGGAAGTACACAGTCTGTCTCTCTGGGTCGAAGCCTAACTCATGCTCTGGGAAACGGGCTCTGTAAAGGGCCACATGGGGGTTGTCCTCCTGCTTCCCCAGGAGATGCTGAAAGTAACGCAGTGTAGCCTTTGGACTCTTGATGGCCTGAGAGGAGGGAAGGAACAGAATGTTAGGCTCCCAAGCCCACCATATCCTACTTCTTACATCAAGAGATTGATAAGGTAACAGACTCTGGGGTCTGTCACCTCCTCTCCTCTGCTCACCACTTCTGGAAAGGGGGTGGGCTGCTAGCTCACCATGCTTGCTGCACTGTCTCCAAAGAATCTTTCATTTTCTTTCAGGGTCACAATCACTGGAGTTTTCCTCCGGGATTCCCTGAGGAAAAGAGACATTGGGACTAGGTGCCTATACCAGGGTGTGGACCCAGGAGCCTGAACACCACACATACAATCATTCACCCAGACACTAAAGTCTGTCATGGGCACTTCAAAGAACACACAGTGGCTTAGAACCCAGACTCCCTCTCTCCCCACTCCTGGCACTGGGGCTGCCCTCACTTGTTCAAGACAATTTCCATGGGCACTCCAGGTTTGACGATGGCCACTTTCATGGACTCACTGCCCAGGTCCACAGACATCACTGCCAGCATGTCTAAAGGAGAAACAGATTTGCCAGTTAGTCCCTCTTCCCCCACTTTCCTGAGGCTCCTCTAATCAAAACACACCATCTTCCATGGAAAAGGTAAGATAGCAAAAAACATAAAGGAAAGGCCTGGGTTCAGCAACTCAAGAGTCTGGAGGCTTTCGACCAAGAGCCTCATGGCCCCTTCTCACCATATATCATTCATCATTCACTCATTTATTCCTCCCTTCATCCTTCTACTGGGGTACCCACCACTTAGTGCCAACAGGTCTGCCAAGAGCACAGCCATCAATGCCCAACAGGCTAGCCTCCTTGGCCTCTGCCTCCTGACAGTGACTGTCATTGTGCCCCTGGGGAGGAGAAAAACAACACTTGTAACTGGATGCCCTGAGTGAAAGAAACAGAACCTCATCCCTGAACAGGGAAGCTTTAAGATTCATACCTACTCCATTCTCACCCAAGGCAGAACAGCCTACATCCCCTACCCTGCCTCCTGACAGAGGACCAAACACTCTAATCATCCCCGGAAGTGCCCACAAAGGCCAAGGTGAAATAGCATGAGTCCTAGGCTCCACCCTCCACATCCCTAAACAAGGAAGATAACTGGACAGCAGAAAGGGACCACAACCTTCCTATTCCATAGGCAGTAACTGGCGCACCTTAGCACTGGTCCTGCTGTCAGACACCTGGGGTGCGGCCTGGCTCGCCCAGGGTCCAACCACCTCCCCAGACCTGGAGCTCCCTGGCCAGCGCAGAAAGCCAGGCCGGGCCTGGAGAGGAACTGAGAGGTGGTGACGTTGGGGTAGGCTGGGATGGGAAAAGGGCCCGTCTTCTCCTCCGTATCCCTTCGGGTTGTTCCCCCCGCCCGACACACACACACCACCACCCCCTTTCTCCATTCCACTTCCCGGCCCCGCTACCTATACAGACGCTGTGCCTGGAACGTAAGGTTCCTCGAGTACCGAGTGCCCCAAGTTCACATAAGCTTCATCTGACTAAGGCGACAGTTCCCACTCCCGGAAACAAGTCCCAGCCCACCCGTATGGCGTGGGGCGCCCTAGGTCCAAGCGCCCGGGTGACCGTGCGGCCCTCACTCCCGCTACCGACCCGCCCCCAGAGCTAGCACATTGCCTCTTCTAGAAGGGGTGGCGGGTCCCCATTGCCATCCCTACTCCCTCTACCTCTAGCCTCCGCTCCTGTGGCCCCAGTTCTGGGACAAACGCAGCGTCAGACGGACCCACGAGACCAGCAGCGTGTCCCCCAGCCCGCGCCCTTCACAACTACCCTCGGTTTGCAAACTGTTACATTAGCCACCAACCTCTCAGCGGCTTCTCGCGCACTAGCCGGCCCCGGACGCGGCGCGCGCTCATTGGAGCCTCTGCCTTCCGACCCTGCGCCGCACGGATGGCCCCGCCCCTGCCGCCCAGCGCGCGCTTCCATTGGGCCACGTCGTAGGCCCGCCCCTCCTCCGTCTACGGCTGAACCCGAGAGGGTCTGTCCACCAGTTGGGGGAAAACCGAAGGCACAAGCCACGGATTGGACCGCATCATGGGGCCAAGTGCCCGCCCTGGGGCGCTCGCGGGACCTTTACGGCCTCAGCGCTGGATACCTAATTGCAGGGGTCGGGAGTGACGAGTACCTGGAGCGCGTGGGCGCCCTCTTCTTCCGGTTACCTAGGGAGCCCCTGGAGAGGAATGGGAGTGACCAGCATCCTTTCCGCCTCCGCGCCATAGAGGTGCTCCCTTGCTGGTTGATATTGAACTGCCCCGGGCTTTGGATAGAAATCAGAGTTGTTCGCTGACGGGTCGGAGATAACACTTGTATTAGTGGCAGAATTAGGCCTGGACTCCTTACTCTAGCCCCATTTGTATGAGAGAATATTCCAAACTGCAAAGCGCTACACACGAAAGACACTTTTATTTGGAAGGCTGTAACTGGTTGGGCATATATATACACCACCTCATGTTTTATTAAATCTTGTACATTAAAGGACGTCGGACAGGTATTTCGCCCTCCTTACTCCCTTCTCTGTACCTTACAACCCCATCGAAATGTGCATTCCCTGGCCAGTGCACTTTTATCCATTTTTTCTTTTTTCCAGTTTTATTGAGATGAACGCGCTTTTCTTAAATGTAGAAATGAGTCTCCCCATTCCTCTCCCCCCCCCACCCCCCCCCCCCCCCCTCCCCCTCCGCCCCTCCGTCTGGTGTCTATGCTTAGATAAACCTGGCAGTACTAGAGAGAGGTCTATTTTCCTCCCTTTAAAAATAGTTCAGTCTTAGTCTACAGCCATGCTACCCTGAACAAGCCCCATCCGTCTGATCTCAGAAGCTGAGCAGGGTCGGGCCTGGTTAGCACTTGGATGGGAGACCACCTAGGAAGACCAGGTGCTGTATGCATAAGAAAAGTTTTTTTAAAAAAAATAAGGGATTGTAAGCTGACAAAGTCCTTGCAATCTGTGAAGTCAACCAAGGGTTGTTTGCCTCTCGTAAGAAAAAAAAAAAATAGTTCAGTCTTCATGTCTTAGAGAAATTGGTAGAAATAAAATTTGCTTAATTTTTAACACAGTTTAGAACTAATGACTTACAGCCACTGAATAAGCTATGAAGTTTTGTTTTATTTTAAGTAGTTTTCCTTTAAATTATATAGTAAGTAGATAATACAAGATATAGTTCTGCTTTCACACAGTGGATCCTAACCTTCCAACGGAGAATCCCACCATCACAGATAAGCTCTTGTATTAGTTTCTTGTTTAACGTTCTAAAGTATTTTTAAATAACAAACATTTATGTTTGTTATTTAAAGCATAAAACAGTATACCCTTTGTTGGACATATTGCTTTTTTCACTTAACATATTTTTGTGGTCTTTACCTATCTGTACCATAAGAGCCTCCTTAATCTTCACATATTTGTGTATTTGTATTTAATGTTTTAAAAATTATTTGATTTTAAAGATGTGGTACAATTTATTTAACAGGTACCTACTGGTGTGCATTTAAGTTGATTCCAGGATTTAATTATTTTGAACAATAATGTGATGAATAAACGTGTCCATTGGTCATTTCAAAAAAAAAATTAACAGTTTAATTATACAAATAAAACACGAATGTAATCTTCAAAAAATTCAAATATTCTAGATAAAGCTAAATGCCTTTGATACGATCTGCAACCTCATTCTCTCCTCTGGAGGTATGTACCTGTTATCAGTGTAGTGTGTAACCTTCCAGGCCTTTTCCTTTGCTTTTACATACATATATGTCTCTTGAAACATGTAGCTATTGTCTTTTTATAAATGATAAAATGTTATACAATTAGATTGTTTGCAACTTACTATTTTTTGGTAGATAATTATATATCTGTGTAAAGATTCACTTTGTTTATTGATGTAGAACATACTAAAGCATGGGGCTGTTTAGCTATAATGATGGACATATAAATTGTCATTTCATTTCCACAGAGAAAGATTTTGCTTCTCAATAATTGACTTCTTTTGGCCAACTATCCTGTAGGGTAGATTCTTTCCATCCATTTCAAACAGAGTATGCATTTTAACATTTATTAGGTCTCTGTCATATGTAAGCACTGAGCTAGGTGCTGGGTTTCCAAAGGTGGGAATGGCCTTGTCCATTCTTTTAGTCAGTGTGTTGAGAAATGAATACTGTATGTTTATGGTTTCATGCACTTATTAAAAACTTACTGAATGGCTGCAAATTGGGAGGCTAAGAAAGTCTCCCCTGCTCCTAAGTGAGCTCTCACCCCAGAATACCCTTGGTGGGAGCACAGTCTTGCTGCAGCTACCGTTTTCAAACTGCATATCTGTCCCCCGGGAGGTGCAGCAGGTGCAAGTACTCCGGGGAGTCACCTGTTTTGTTCTCTGACCAGAGAGGAGAATAGTGTTTCACAAGAACAAGTTGTACAACAATGGTAAATTTTTAATGTAAAACACCTGATTTAGATTGACCAAGGCAGCTGAATCCACTAGTCCTTGTCCAGAATAACTTAGTAACATTAGTAACTAAGTAACATTTGAGGACCACATTCCTTCCCGACACTGCAGAAATCCAAGGGAATAACGTTGCTGTCTTGCAGGCCATGCGCCAAACTGACAGAAAAATAAAATGAACTCATTAGTAAAAGCATGTACATTCATTATTAACCATGAACATTATGTCATGGGCTGAAAGCAATGTTGATCAGGGCAAACATCCTGATCCAGGAGAACTTTAAAAATTAGTTATCACATGGCAACCTCATTCTTAGGTTTATATCTAACAAATGTATACGTATGTCCACCGAGAGACTATAACGGCTCTATTCATAATGATCCCAAACTGAATACTAACCTAATGCCCATCAATAGTTGAATGGATAGTTTCACACAATGTAATTCTATAGAGCAATGTAATTCTATATTACATTCGACAACTTAAATGAATCTCACAAACATAATAATGAATGAAAGAAACCAGAAACCAAAGAGTACATACTTTATGTTTCACTTATAAAAAGTTTAAAAACAGGCAAAATGAAGCTGTAGTGATAGAAGTTGAGATGGTGCTTACCTTTGCCCTCCAGAAAGGTATAGCAACATGCACTCCTCAAAAGCAGTAAATGACAGCCCCTGTATCCTTATCACTAGAGTATTTTAGAACATTTTAAAAGTCTTGGTATTATGAATTTGAATAGGATACGGGCCAGGGGTGAGTAGACAAAGGATTGGAACATTTCCCAGCTTGCATTGGGATAGGGATTATTTTGTTTCAAGAAGAGAAAGCAAGACTTGGTGTTCTTAAATTCTGTGACTTCATGATCACATAGAAAATCATTCAGACTTATGAACAAACTTATGGACCTGAGTGTTCTAAAATAAATGGAGCACCCAGAATATGGGGCTTTGGAATTTGACATACCTGGATTTGTCTGTGAACTTCACCACTTCCTACCTATGTGACTCCAGGCAAGTTTAGCTTTCCTGAGCCTGTTTCAACATTATGAAAAGAGGCATGCTGGTACTTCACAGGGTTGGTATAAAAATTAAAGAAGGGTAATAGGCTTAGCACAGTGCTTGTGACAGCCTAAGCACCAAATGCATGTTAGTTATACTTTTTGATATTAGCCTAGAGAAATAAAACTAAAAGGGGCCTATTGTAGTGTTAAAAGCTTGGTTAAATGCTTTCCCAAGTTCATGGAGAATTTCATTTCCCTTTTGTAGTCCATATTTTCACAATCAAAAACCAGCGAATTGCTTCTTTCTCCTTTTTTCACTGTAGCTTTGGAGCCTTGGGCTGTCTTGCACTATAAGACCTCTGGGTTTATTTTAGGTTGACTTTCTTGCTCCTAAAGTGGAAACTGCTGTAGCCTTTTCAGGAGCTAAAAGGAAAAAACCTAGACTTTTCAGTCGTTCAGAAAATCATTTCTACCCAGAGAGCCAAATGAGAAAAAAAAAAAAAAACTGATAGAAAATAAAAGTTTACAGCTGGAACAAGAAGTGTTCCTGTTTTGCTCCAGTGGATAAGACTGTTGTACATCGTGGGGGACTAGTTTGCTGAAGGGGAAAAGGGGATTACTAGGCAATTCTTGATTCTGAGTTGTGATCTCTTTAATTTCAAATTAGACTTGAATTGCTTCTTTATTTTTAGTCCCTTCAGAATTCAAGTTCTCAGTGTACAGAACTTTACGTGAATTTGTATACATAATCATTTTCTGTGCAGTCTGCCTGCTTATCTTCCTTTCCTAAAGTTCCTAGATTCAGACAAATATAACTAAAAGACAAACCCTGGTGTATGTTCTGACAAGTATAGCTTAGCTTCACATCCCAGCAAAACCATCTAATTAAAGGTTAGGGAACTGAAGAACTTCTTTTTATTTCCAAAGAACTTCAGTTTTTTTGCCCAGCGAGAGTCCCTTGAACCTCTTTGAGACACCATTTCTCATCAGAGAGAATGATCCTTCTGCAAATGATTGCTATGAAGAGTACATGAAAAGTGAAAGCACTTTGTTAGGTATAATTCACTACATGAAATTAAGGGCCTATTACTGTCAGTCCATTTTATGTCTTTCCCCTACAGTGGTTGCCAAGCTCCTAAAGGGCAAGAACCATGTCTTGTTCACATTTATAGTCTCAACATTTACTACAGTTCCAGCAATAGTGAATACTCAGCACATATTTGTCAAAGGAGGAAAGGAAGGAAGGCAGTAAGTCTGAAGAGAAGTTATAGGTCACACTTACAGGTCAATCTCTGCCTTTATACCTTCATCAATAAGAAGACCCAAGTGGCATAGTCCTAACCAGGTTCAGATACCAGAGGAAGACTCTT